TGCAGGCTCTTACGGAACCGATTAACTCCCCTTGTGTGTATGTACAGCTCTCAACATGCCCAGACTTGGAGTGATTTTAACCTCTTTTAATACTTTCCGCCTCATTCTGAAAGAAAGAAGTGAGATGTTCCAACGTGACGGCCGTCTTGGTGTGTGGTGCGAGACGGGAGATGTAGTTCATTGAGCGGTTTCACACTAAAAAAGTGTTACTTCTTTTACGTTTTACGACACATTTAAAAAATGTTGACTTGCAAAATTATCTTTTGAATTGACAAACATCATATGTGTAATTCGTGGCACAATTTAAACGGGATCGAAAGATAATCTTTCTCTCGCCATTGACTTCAATACATACTTTTTCCGAAATAAGGTCCCCCGAAAAGGGAGGGACTTCGCCTCTCTATAGGTCACATAGGCATGAACTGGGAAACATGCAAGGTAAACCCTGAGTAGACATGTTGCACAATTTACAATATGTATATCAATTAATCTGTATAAATGTGATTAAGACAACTTGTGAAATAGTTCCTGTCCTCTTTGCAGGATGTCCAGTCATCATTACATTGTTCTTTTGGCTTTGCACTTGCTTTCAAAATGAGCACCAAACTGGGAGCATTTTCTCAATACCAAATTTGATTTGCATACATACTGTAACCATATATTACAAAGTTAAATACAATCTGACCTACGTCATTCTGGTCTGATTTGTATCAGTTGAATATTCAATGTAATGGTCTGCTTAGATGTTTATGTGTCAAAGTGTAGCTGCACCCAATCTATTGACCGGATTTGTTGTGACTAAATTATTTCTAAAGCGTGGTACAGTAGTTATCGTGCAATACTCTATCATTACTGCATTCAGGCCCCTTACCACACACAGCTTGGATGTGGGAGAAGTGGGAGATGCACTGTGTTTGGAAATAGAAAAGTTTGGAGTACATATTGTAGAATTGCTCAGACCCTTGAGGAAACCCTCATTTGGATATGATGGTATTGTTTAAACCTTGTGAGTGTGTCTGTGTGATGAAATTGAACAGGTATGTCGTTGTGGTCAAAATGAAGGTCGAGTTTGATAATGTCTGTGTTTCGACGAAGGGAGCGTGTCTTTGTGTGTGACTGAATATAATTAATCATGCAAGGTGCACTCAGATTTGTATTCGAGATCAAAACAAAAGTTGATTTTAAAAGATGGGCGTGGTCTCTGAAAAGGCCCATCCACTTACACCCCTGTGGGGGAGTTCGCTTGGGTCCATTGGCTCACCCACTGGATGCACCTGGCCCCTTTTGCGTTGCGGCTACTGCCATCCCATCATAAGATGGCCTGTAGTACTTGATATTTGAATCAATTAGAATTCAGACATCCTGAATAAGGTCCATATTATCTTCTATAAGCCACTAAACAGCAATGTTCATGACAAAATGAAAGTTAAATATGATTATACTCTGTTTTGTAGATGACATCTTTAATACAATACTGATTCAAAGCATTAATATGACTTTAGGAAATATAAACAATAGTAAATTATTGTTTTTAAATCCACAGTAGTTTATGTTTTGTTAACAGACTGCAGTTCCAAAAGCAGGCTTGTTCTTATTAGTCAGGCATTTTATTTTATTTCCAAAAAGCATCTTTCTAATGTTTTTTGAGAGTCTGAATGGCATTAATAGTTTGCTGGACCACTAGATTGATGAATAAACTGCTAGATTTTGTCCACAAAATTATCTAATCTAGACACTAAGCTTCAGTCAATTTCAGCAAAGAGAAATTCTCAAAGTACAGACTCTTTTCTTCAACATGTAATCTTACGTATGCTATTCACGCCAGATGACCTAAAGTACTGGCCATTAAACCTAGATATCTGTCAAAAGCAGAAACGTTGGGTTACGTATTGTAACCCTTGTGTTACAACCCGGCTCATGGGCTGTAACATAAAACAGGGAGGCGAGATGAGAGGTAAGAATATATAGTTTATTAGTTTAAACACAACACTAAATGGACACCAGCAACAAGTCCCTGAAGCTGGCGAGTGCCCAAAGGAGTGAGACCACGTAACCGGCTGGGCTCCTCCTATATCCTGTTTCACCAGGTGTGCCTCATCCGGCAGGTGCGCCTCATCAGACAGCTGCAGCTGGAACCTGCAATCACACACAAACAACCAGACGGCACCCCACGTGGTGTGGAGGGGTCGTCACACTTGTTATATTAGCACAGGCGGAGCCCTCTACTGGACTCTATGGGTACTACCTTATCCTGCGTGCATTCCCCCACTGAGACTTCTATAGACGTACCCGGCCTAGGGCGGGCCTACCTGAATGCGCGCGCATCACACCGTATATAAGGAGGCCTCGCCTCCTGCCCATCATCCTACACCTCTCTTCAGCGAGCGGAATAGGACAGACAGTGCCCTGAGTAGAGGGCTCCGCCTGTGCTAATATAACAAGGGTTACAATACGTAACCCAACGTTATATCACTCACAGGCTCCGCCCTCTACTGGACTCTATGGGTACAGTGGGTGGAGCCCCGATGTATGTACGCACTGTCGTCCAACACCATTCCACCCTGCTGCCCCTGACCGGCTTTCCTGGTCAGCAGCTGCGCACATTCTCCCTTAACCCGGTTGTGACCGAGGAGAAATCTGGGCTGTGGCTGACAGAGCAAACCCTGCTGCGCTTACCTCGCAGAAAGTGTGCTCAAAAAACAGTGCCGGAGAGCCCCCTCGGCCCCGAATGGGCTTACTACACGCCTGCCTCCCTGAATCCCTAAGGATAACAGGGAGAGTGCCAGAGCCCATGTCTCACACTCAAGCACTGACCCCATGCAGAGTGTGAGAGGACTAAAAATGTGGGGTAGCCTCCACCCCGTAACGGGCCAGCGCGCCCCTTGCCCATCCCGTGACCCTGGAAAGGCGAAGGCGCATCACGTCCGGGGAGGGGGTCAGATGTCAACTGACCCACAACCCCCCCCCCCCTACAAATCCTGTGTTGCCCCAGCAAGCACAGACGAGGAGAAAGAGCCAGACATGTCCAAGAGATAAAACCTTATGAAGGGGCCTGGCGTCGACCAAGACGCCACTGTGAATAAGATTGTCGACACAGCCACAGCCCGTGTGGAGTGCGCACGAGCCCCCGTGGGGCAGGCTCTCCCTGCCTGTCCGTAGGCATGTGACCAGCAAAGCCAGCATGCCAGGCGTTTCTTGGACAGAGCTTTCCCGATCACCCCGCCCCCGAAGCACACGAACAGCTGTTCGGTGCATCTAAGGGCAGCCGTGTGCGCCACATAACATGCTAGCGCACGCACCGGGCAGAGGAGGTGCAGTTTAGCCATGGGGGGGAAGACTAAAACCCCCTAACTGAATAGCCCTAAACCTGAACGCACTCCTTAGGCTCTTGGGCACAAAGGAGGGGTTCGGTCTGAGCCTCGAGCACTAGGGGCAGGTCCCACTGCGGGGTGGAGGCGTAAACTACTAGGCGCAGCCACCTGACCCCCTGTAAAACCCGCGACATCAGTAGTTGACTAAAGGCTGACCTGCCGCCAAATCCCTCATGGCAGGACGAGATGGCTGCTGCATACACTTTCACTGTTGAATGCGCAATCCCTCTGTCCACCAGTAACTGTAAGAAGGATAAAATAGAGCCTAACTCACAAGATAGGGGCTCTATTCTCCGCTCCTCACACCGTCGCTGGAATCCTAGCCACTTTGGCCTGTAACAGGCTGTGTTGGATCCAGCTCTAGCTGCCTGGATAGACTGAATACTACTGTCAGACAATCCACCCTGTCTCAGCCTGTCCCTCTCAGGAGCCAAGCCTGGAGAGGTTGGCCGAGAGTGGGTAACGCCCCGATTGCACCTGCCTCTTGAGACATCGCTCCCCAGAACTGGGGAACCGCCCAGGGCTAGCCCACCTTCATCTGTGTCGTCTCTGAGTACCACGGCGCCCCGACGCTGTCCGGAGCCACTAGGATGACTGACTCTCCCCAGGAGAGGGAGAATGAGACGCAGCGGTGGAAAGGTGTATAGCAGCTTCCTTGGCCATGGCTTGTGTGTAAACGCGTCCACCCACAAGGGCGGGTTGTCACTCAGGGCCATGGAGAACCACAGGGCACAGTGGTTGTTGCGCCGGCTGGCGAACAGATCCACTTCCGCTCTCCCAAACTGGGCCCAGATCTGCTTCACCACCTCCGGGTGAAGCGTCCATTCGCCTGGCAGGGGGCCGCCCCTCGACATGAGGTCGGCCCCCCTGTTCTCCAGTCCCGGGATATGGAGGGCTCTCAGAGATAACACCACCTCTGAAGCCCATAACCACCTAAACCTAAAATATGAGCAGTCAACTTAAGAATGTGTATTTTAAATGGCATAAGACAATTAACATTTCTAACGAAGGTTATTAACAAAACAGAGCTCTTACATTTAGCGTACATAAAAAGGCCATGATGCAGACTAAGATCTATTAGCCTGAAAGCTGGTTTATGCACACAGTGAAAAACTAAATGGAAATATAGGAGCTACTTGCAATTGGAAGAAAGTAAAATCATTTGTAAGCTTGTGGTGCCAAGCTTTGAACACAGTGTAAACTAATACATCTTTAGAAAAACATTTGACTATTTCCAATGCTGAAATCAAAATAGCTTTCAAATGTTTGATTAATGCCTGATGTTAGAGGGTTGTACCTGTTCCTACGAGAACTAAACAACGTGATTGTTTTTTTTGCCAAAATGATGGCATTAGTAGAGTGTACAGAAAAATAATATAGATTAGTTCGATTAATTATAAATAAAGATAGTTTATTTATGTGATCTCTGGACGAGGTATAAAGGAGGCTTTGTTTTCCTTCTCCATCTCCCTTCCCCTGCTCCTCTTTTTATTTCGACCCTGCCTTTATTTTTCTGACTCATAAATGTTTGTCCTCATCTCCATTTTCCTGTTGCTTTCTTCCTTTTCAATCATATCCGCCTTCTTTCTGTCCTCACTCTCGTCCTCTCTCTCTTCTCTCACCCTCCAGGTTGTTTGATGGCCGGGTGTCTCCAGTCCCTCGGGTGGTGCCTGTGAAACGCCCTCGAGTTGCGATGCCTCTGGTACGACGGGTCAAATCCCTGCCGGTCAAACTGCTGGCGCGTAACCCTGGAGTCCTCCCCACCAGCAACGGCAACAAACAGAAATGTAAGTTTACCTGTTTGTCTGTGGAAGTTAAATCACTGGCTAACTTTTGAAAAACAAGAACTAGGGCTGCTTTACCATTTGCAATGTGGCATTTCCCCCTTTCTCCCCCTTACACTAGTTTATCACTAGTAATTATTTTTCTGTAACATGATAAAAAAAAAACATGTTTAATCTGTTAGCCAAGCAGTGACTTTACTCCCTTGATCTAACTGTATCCGTTAGTAACTCATTTTGTAAAAACATGGGAAAATACTTTAATTAAAAAACAGGGTTCGTACGGGTGCTTGAAATCCTTGAAAATGCTTGACATTTTATGTGGTGTTTTCAAGGTTGGGAAAGTGCTTGAATTTTGGGAATGGTGCTTGAAATTGAGATAAAGTGCTTGAAAATGTAAATGCTTTACTTTTAGAATAAATTGCTGTCTGACTGAATAGTTCGCTTTTTAGATTAAAAGAAAATAATTGCTTCGCTTCTACATAAAACAGCTCCGCTGCGGCCTTCCCGCGCTATGCCCGCGACCTGCAAGTGTTTGTGTTACGTGTGACCTGGGCATTCTGATGAGAGTGATCGATGACTGTGTGCCAGGAGGTTGCAGTTTCAACGAGCGTTGGCTAGCAGAAGACAAATACAAGCCATGGCTAAGACGAGGGTCAAGCCCACGAGTAGCCTCCTGCAAAGTGTGCAAAAATAACGATGCGAGAGTCTGCGCTGACGAGCCACATGAAAGGTACGCCGTAGAGCATTTTAGATTAGGCTAACGTTGCATGTTACGTTTGTTTAAGCTAACGTTAGCAAGCTGATTAGCAAACTCGATTGAGGGATAATAATAATTGCAGGGGACAGTCATTTCAGAGGAGCGTACCTATGTTAATATGTGCGTTACAGTCACCATCCTGTGGTCTTCAGAGGATGAAGCACTCACGGCATTTCGTGTTATAGTCACGAAATATAATCTATTGATTCGACACAGAGCGATTTTGAAAGCAATGCATTTCTACTGGTAGTATGTTTCGTGCCTAAACCAAATGTGACTTGATCTATCAAAATCAGTCACATTGACCCGAAGACACATTTTCGTTTGTATTACTGGTCTGGGGGAAGCTCGCGAGTGTGTGTGTGTATTTTTGTGTTTGTGTACCGGGGAAACACTTACAAGAAACACCGGCTGTTGTTATGCCTGCTGTGACGTCAAGTTACTCCGTTCTCTGCTTGTAATTATGCCGAAGCTTCAAAGTTGTATTTATCATCTGAATTTGCCGAAACAAGTTTAATATTCTGAAAGCCAATACTTTGTTTATTTGAAAACAGATGAAAACAAACTGTCTTTTATATAAAATTGAAGTATTATACAAGTAAAACTACATTTTGCTTTAATCCCATGTAATTGTAGAATGAACACAGTCTTCCTTTGAAGATGTATAAGTCAGGTGTCTTGAGTAGTCAAAATTACCTACAAATCATTGTACACATTTGTAAATATTAGTTACCTTTGTGAGTCTATTTTTATGCAGCTCTGCGTGATTTTGTGGCTACAATTCAGACTAATACACTACCAGAGGTGGACTAAGTACTCAGATAATGTACTTGAGTAAAAGTACAAGTACTCAGATCTTGTACTTAGTAAAAGTAGAAGTACCCAGAGTGTAGGAATACTCTGTTACAGTAAAAGTCCTGCATTCAAAATGTTCCTCAAGTAAAAGTAGAAAAGTATTCTCATCTAAATATAGTGAAAGTAGCGACAGTATAGTCATTGTGCAGATTGGTCCATTTCAGAATAATATATATGATATGTTTTCTAATGATTGATCATGAAAGTGTTCTCAAAGCTGGTAAAGGTGCAGCTAGTTTGAATGACTTTGTATACTGCAGGGTAGCTTGTGGATTTACTCCAGGTGGAACTAAAGTCTGATTTAAGACTTGATTATATTTCACATCATTCATCGTAACTAAAGGTATTAATACATGTAGTGGAGTAGAAGTACACCATTTACCTCTGACTTATGTTTACTGCCAACCTAAAAGTACCTCATAAATAGTAATCAATAATGTATTGAAAAGTTATTTGGCTGATTGTTTTATATTGGCTCAGACAGGTTATATGGGATGCCCAGTCTACGTACAGGTCACTCATTTTGAAATATTAAACTTCGTTTTCTTTTCTTGAATTTTTCATCCTCGTGTAGAATGCTATCACGAAACACACATTTGGTTGTTTATAGCATAAAGAACATCTGATTTAATGTGAGGTAGGGAAATAATCATTTGAGTATGTGTATATAAATAGTAATTTACAACAGCTGTAAGATGCTTGAAAAGCTGGAAAATGCACCTTGAAAATGCTTGAAAAGTGCTTGAATTTGACTTTGGAAAAGGTGTAAGAACCCTGAAAAAAGGATTACGTTGTTATCATGTCATGCATATTACTAGTTAGCTTCCAATGGATTCCAAGACACCATATTCATACAAATCAGGAAAAGTAAGTCCAAGTTTCACAATGACATTTTAAGGCCTTTACTGTCCAAAACTGAATTATTCAATCACTGGCAAAGAAAGCGGATTTAATAAAGAGGAAAATAGCCCAAATGTATTATTATTTTATAATTGTATAATATTATGATATAAACCACTACCAAACTTCAACCTTGTGTCTCTCTGTCTGCGTCCCTCTTCCTTTTATTTGTTGTTTCTTCTTTCCTCCTGCCATGCTGACTAGCTCCGCCCTTTTGACCTGAATGTCCCCTTCATCTATCTTTCAAGTCTTTGTTTGACATCTCAGATAGGGTTCAGGCATCTGTTATCATTCTTTGTTGGCGTTCTGCTCATTAAACATTCATACCACATCATGCTCATACTGTGGATCTGAAGGATGATGTTGACGCCCCGTCAGCTGCTAACAGCACTTATTTTTATTCCTGCCAGGGTTCAACTGGAGGTCTGAACACTGAGTAGTTTGCAATGCATGGAGCTTAAAGGTTCCATATTAAAGGTTCCTTTTTCCTGTCTCTTCTACATCAGCATGTGTCCCCTCTGTGGAAAGAGACTCTGAAAGTTTCAGGAACAAAGATTCTCTCTCTTTTTGTCCTGATCCATTTCTATAAAAACCTGTGTGAAAATGAGCTGATCAGATTTTGGCCACTTTATGATGTCATAACAATTGTTTGGCTTGTGTAACCATTAGCCAATCAGCAACCAAGGTAACCCCCCCCCCCCCCACCACCACCTTATCACCTGAATCTCCTCCTAGAGCACCAGAGTTATTTTTAACCAAATCTCTCTCAGAGGGGCGTGGGGAGAGGCTCCTTATTTTCATCTAAAGTAACAGACAGAGAATCAGCTCTTTGGAAACAGGGCTGAAACAGAGGGGATTATGGGATGCTGCAATGATCTGTTTGGTGTTTTGAGCCAAACACTTCAGAGACATGTTTTGTATATATCTGAGACCTATAATATATTGTTAAAAAACAGTATAATAGGGGACCTTTAAGTTCGCACTGTGTTTTAAACAGATCAAAGATTATTTTTTATTTTATTTTGCTAATGAAAATCAGAAATGACATGAGTCCCAGGGCAGTACCAGTCTTACAGGACTGATGCAGACGAGGGTAAAAGGTTTGATCTCTGAGACTTTAGCTTTGACAGGCGTTTTGGCGGGAATTGGGTGTGAAAGCTTCAAGCGGACTGCTTTTGGCGCTTAACTAGTTCCACATTTTCTAACAAAGAAACTTTAGCTCAAAAGGACTGCTGGACTATTAGGAATACCTTTCATACAAACATGATCCAGCCTAGGGCTGCTCGAAAAAAAAATAAAACTATTCATTTGAACAGCATCTTTTTAACAGTTGATTACCCTGAACTTTAAGTATAATTCATCTGCAAAGTATTCAGCTGAAGCCACATCTTTTTCAACTTCCACACAGCATTTGTCATAGAGGGCAGGCAGTGCAGATCTGGTGAAATTATGCTGAGATGGGGTAACGCTAGTGTTAACCAGTTTCTTAAACCCCTGGTTGCTAACTGGCCACATGTCTTTAGCTATGTAGAATGTGATGGCATGTGTTATATCTTTGTGTCTTTGCGAGCTGGTTGAGTAGGCCGTTGCACTGTAAAGCGCGTCCTTAATTGATGACTGTGATGTGGTGGATGAAGTCGAGGGGGCACGCTTGTGAACTGTCAACGGGGGGGCGGGGGGAGCCTCGCTGCGGGGAAACTGTGGACCTCTGTCGCCTGTCAGCACAACTGAAATGATGACGTTTAAAAAAAGCGGGCCGGGCCAGCCGTCTGTGATCCTCCAGAACACACAGATAGCCAGTCCGCCCCTGCTACACTGTACTTTTTTTTTGTTCCACGTCGGACTCCTGAAACCCAAAGTATTTCCAAACAGCAGAATTCGTTTTACCTTTCTTGTTCACGAGGTGCTCTTGTTCTGCCATCTTCGCTCGCGCTGAACTCGCACAACTATTGTTACTCACAACCTGGCTGAGAGGGCTTTTAGGTAGGGAAGAAAGCGCACCTAACAAAATAATCGTTTTATTTCGATTACGTTGTTTTCGTAATCGTTGCGACCCAAAATCGTAATGGAGATTAAAATACGATTAATTGCACAGCCCTAATCCAGCCTTTCACTTCTAGGTAAATGCAATGTAAATGAAATTACTCCAGTGTTAAAACAACATTACTTCATACATTTTCAATTAAACTTTAATGGTCCTCTGTAGGTATAGTCCCTCTGCTAATGTGCATTGACAGCTCTGAGAATAGAGAAAGAGAGCTGTTTTTATTAACTCTGGAGTTCCTGACCATGTTCTGCTGTAAAGCTTCCCTGAAAGGGGACCTATTATGCAAAATGCACTTTTTGATGTCTTTTATATATAAATATGTGTCCCCGGTGTGTCAGGGAACTCACAAAGTGTCAGAAAACAAAACCCTCTCTCTTTTCCTCCGTACCCACATCTCTAAAAAAAAAAAGGGGGGTGCTAACAAGCAGATCCAGAATCTTCGCTCCTATAACGTAATTGGCGACATCCGGCCGACGTGACACGTCCCAACCTATCGTCAGTGATGCAAACACAGGTATGGTGAAAAGAGAGAGAACTTTTCGAAGCAGAAAAAAACGGCGTAATATACCATCTGACAAAGGCCTGTGCTATAATGCTTCAATTAACTGCTATTCTTTATAATATACTCAGATCAATAGGAGACAGATATGTTAAGTTAAAAATCAAGGGTTTTTATTATTGCTTACAGCAGGGGAACCTTTTTCCTTTCAATCTTTACAACATCCTCCGAGGGCCGTACAAATGATTGAACTCAACCTCTGCTTAAAAATACTAAAATCACAGCCCATTCATTTGGCCTTTCTTTCATGCTGTGCAAAGAAAAAGCAACCAATCCAGATATCTCACCATGACTCGCGCATGCATGTGCACGGTGTGGCATGACCACCCAAACAGAAAGATATGGACACAAGATGTGTGCAAATGTATTTAGTATCCTATCCTTGTGAACGTGATTTAAGTGGGGGGGGGGACCTAACCTCCTAGGGGGGTCCGGAGGCATGCTCCCCGGGAAGATTTTTTTTTTTAAATATTGAAGTTAAAAGCATCAATCTGGTGCACTTTGAGAGCAACATGAGGAGATCTATGGATACATCTTTCAACACCCATATGAAACAGACCTGTAAGCAGATTCTTCTTTTTGAATATTTTACAAATCACTCCCCTTTCAAACTGTATTCTTGTTATTTTTAACAACTTTTTTGTTACTGTCATATAGTATTTTATACCTGTTTTTCATTTAGTCTCTAATGTCTCATTAATAACTATAATGATCATATCAAGTTGTGCCTTAACCTCACTGAGGTTATTTGAGCCTCTCAGGAGAGAGCTCTCTTCCACCTGGTTGTAGAAAAGCTCTTTAAATTCGTTAGCATAGCTAGCTAACCAGATGCTAATAACAACAGATTGCCACTGTGCTTACAACTAAAAACACAGCCACGCAAACACTGCGGCATGTGTACGGCTCCTTATGGGTACTGCAATATTTGAAGAGCTGGAGAGGCATTCCGGTGCTTTCCGTCAGCACTCTAGTCTACACCAGAGTCCTGCACGGGACTGATTTTGAAGACCCGCTCCCGCCCCGCACCGTGCAATACCGAACCCGCCCCGCTACCCGCACATATTGCCAATTAGTTCCGCAACCCGACCCGAAGGCACAAGATCCGCAACCCGACCCGAACCCGCATATATGAGCAGTGAAAACGTGCAATTATTAACACACGCAGTTGCATATTTGTCTCAAAAAGCGTGGGATGTTGGTTATTTTCTCCATCTAGGATGACACCAATGTGTGTAACCAATGTGTGTGACATAATGATGTGTGGACGGCAGTGAGAGTGGTGCAGTGGCGCAGATGATGACCTTCTCTATTTACAGAACTCAGAAAAACTGTCCTTTGCTTTGATCTGATGCCATATGAGTTACTTCAATTCATATGAAGAGACACAAATGCCTCTTAGGTGAAAAGCAAAACAATATGGAATAAGTGAACATAAAGATATAATGCAAATGGATAAATATCCAGCCGTTGTCTATGGAGAATGGTCATAGTAATGTATCCTCTTCTCATGAATCTTGTCTGAATGTGCTCTCTCTGTCTCTCTGTCAGCAGGGAGAGGTGCAGAGCTTCAGGCGATCAAGTCAGAGCTGACTCAGATTAAAGGAAACATCGAGGCTCTGCTGGGCAGACTGGAGCAGATCACAGAAGACACACACATCACCGCCACAGGTGACACACACACACACACCCAAATAATGCGATCTTAGTGGGGCTGTTGTGTGTTGTAAAGAATATTCCCTGATTATGTTATACGCCAAATGTGATTACAGGTATGCTCAGAACTCCAATTCACCTATGAATCTAACTTCTCTTAACTAATAAATTACTAAGTTACAGAAGTTTTCTCTTGCTTGGCAGCCTAATTTATGCATGTTACAAGTTATGACAAACAGCTACATAATATGTGGCTGCTCTTAAATAATAGTTGATATATTCTCAAACATTCTTTCTATATTTATTAAAAAAAATCCCCATATATACAGTGGGGCAAAAAAAGTATTTAGTCAGCCACCAATTGTGCAAGTTCTCCCACTTAAAAAGATGAGAGGCCTGTAATTTTCATCCTAGGTACACTTCAACTATGAGAGACCAAATGAGAAAAAAAAATCCAGAAGATCACATTGTCTGATTTTTAAAGAATTTATTTGCAAATTATGGTGGAAAATAAGTATTTGGTCAATAACAAAAGTTCATCTCAATACTTTGTTATATACCCTTTGTTGGCAATGACAGAGGTCAAACATTTTCTGTAAGTCTTCACAAGGTTTTCACACACTGTTGCTGGTATTTTGGCCCATTCCTCCATGCAGATCTCCTCTAGAGCAGTGATGTTTTGGGGCTGTCGCTGGGCAACACGGACTTTCAACTCCCTCCAAAGATTTTCTATGGGGTTGAGATCTGGAGACTGGCTAGGCCACTCCAGGACCTTGAAATGCTTCTTACGAAGCCACTCCTTCGTTGCCCGGGCGGTGTGTTTGGGATCATTGTCATGCTGAAAGACCCAGCCACGTTTCATCTTCAATACCCTTGCTGATGGAAGGAGGTTGTCACTCAAAATCTCACGATACATGGCCCCATTCATTCATCCCAAAAGTATGATGTTTCCACCCCCATGTTTCACAGTAGGTTTGGTGTTCTTTGGATGCAACTCAGCAATCTTTTTCCTCCAAACACGTCTAGTTGAGTTTTTACCAAAAAGTTCTATTTTGGTTTCATCTGACCATAGGACATTCTCCCAATCCTCTTCTGGATCATCTAAATGCTCTCTAGCAAACTTCAGACGGGCCTGGACATGTACTGGCTTAAGCAGGGGGACACGTCTGGCACTGCAGGATTTGAGTCCCTGGCGGTGTATTGTGTTACTCATGGTAGCCTTTGTTACTTTGGTCCCAGCTCTCTGCAGGTCATTGACTAGGTCCCCCCGTGTGGTTCTGGGATTTTTGCTCACCGTTCTTGTGATCATTTTGACCCCACGGGGTGAGATCTTGCGTGGAGCCCCAGACCGAGGGAGATTATCAGTGGTCTTGTATGTCTTCCAATTTCTAATAATTGCTCCCACAGTTGATTTCTTCACACCAAGCTGCTTACCTATTGCAGATTCAGTCTTCCCAGCCTGGTGCAGGTCTACAATTTTGTTTCTGGTGTCCTTTGACAGCTCTTTGGTCTTGGCCATAGTGGAGTTTGGAGTGTGACTGTTTGAGGTTGTGGACAGGTGTATTTTATACTGATAACAAGTTAAAACAGGTGCCATTAATACAGTTAACGAGTGGAGGACAGAGGAGGCTCTTAAAGAAGAAGTTACAGGTCTGTGAGAGCCAGAAATATTGTTTGTTTGTAGGTGACCAAATACTTATTTTACCGAGGAATTTACCAATTAATTCATTACAAATCCTACAATGTGATTTCCTGGATTATTTCCCCCCATTCACACTATGTGAAGCGGCCTTCGGTCCCTTAACCTGTTAAACCCCATCGCCCCCGCCGGCGGGGGCTTTTCACGAAATGTTCACGAAACTGTGTCTCAGGGCTTCTTAACATTTAACAACATATTAATGTGTCATACCCACTTAACGGGAAGAAACTCAGCTAACTCACGAACCATTTTTACCTAAACAAAACACAAGTCTAACGCCAAGCTTCTGAATTAGTACTAAGCGAAAGGTTGCTAACGCACTTAGATCATAACTCACGGTAGCGATATTTTATACTTCATCGGATCTGCAGAAACAAGATATCATATGAAAGCTGAGATTCCACAGATTCCAATGGTATAGGTATCATCACTGTACGACTAGAACCCACGGCAGCGAAGGCACAACCAGACAACACACAACTTAGCTTTACATATGTAGCACTCCAGATAGGACCAACCAAAATTCCAACCAAAAACCCAGCGGATCCCAGTGGCTGGGAGATTAAAGTCCTCCCACTATTTCCTAAGAGGGCATTGCCAAATGTCCCCATTTGTTCAATTTCAGTATTTAACCATGAGATGGCGCTTCATTCACAAATACACAAAGACAACTGGGTGTTGGAGACCTTAGGTTGTTTGCAATGTTTGCAGCTCTGCAGTTGTGTTTGCTGAATACTGCAGCATTTAATCACTTATTTGTTATGGTTTTCACAGGCTACTATAACGAAAAAACATCACTATTTTAGATCAAATAAAGTATATCTAATCTTATTATCTTAATTGTAATTCAATAATATATAGACTTTATATATTAAATAATCATAATAATAATGTAAATGTTTACACTTCTTTATTTTTTATGCTCATACTTTTACCTTTACAATAGTTTGCTTTAATATGCAATATATTTTTTGTAATATTGTTGTGGTGTTTTTACACAGTACAGTAGATCGAACTAAATCAACTTATACATTAAGATAAGATAAGATAAGATGGACCTTTATTAATCCCCGTGGGGAAATTCAGTAGTTCAAACAGCGACCGGGTGAGAGTGAAAAACAGGATAGCACAGATTCACACAGATTAACAAAATCAAAAATAAGATCAGCGATAAAAATAAAAATAATAATAATAATAATGAGAAACTATAAAATAAGAAATTAATATCATATATTATATAATGTATTGTATTATTAAGTAATATCATACATTAACCCCATTATAGCAGATGCCACATTGAATGGATGAACACATTTATGCATCAATAATTGCAACAGAGTATTTCTAAATACAAGTTGTAAAAATACTTATATGTATTTAATACTAATAACATAATGATTCATTTTACTTTCAGAGGATAATACTTTTCACTTGGGCAATTTACCATTTTGAATGCTGGACATTTACTTCTAATACGTATTTTTACCTAGGTAAATAATCTGAATACTTCTTCCACCTCTGAGTTTGGACCCTGTCACTGTTTTTAAAACTTTAATTAAATGTATGATATTTCCAGAGACCCTTTCAGACCACTGCTGGAGAACAGAGGGGGGATGGGAGAGTTTTGTCACATTCCAATGTGAACAAAGAGAGTCACAGCCCTGCGTTGATTTAAGGGAACTGTCGGGGGTGGGGGGTGGTGAACGGTACATGGTCAATGTTTGTTTAAAAATGTTTGCAGTCGCGAAAGCTCTAAGTCAATAAGACATGGACAAAAACAATTATCAGTATGTGTCGAGGGGGAACTAGAGACACCTCTCTGCCTTTACAGCCATGGTCCGGTCTGACAGCGCTCAGCTCTCTGCTGCAGAGAGGAAGAGACGATCACTGCTCTAAACAAAAATCGTACATCCAAACAGAATAAAATAATTAATTATTATTAATACGTTAAGTCTTGTTCATTGTTTTTCACTTTTATTAAATGTTTGATATTCCCGGCACAGACCCTTTCATACCGGCAATGCGCGATAGAAACAACAGGACCTGCGACAGCATAAATATGTGAACACAAACCTACAGTTAAACTTTAGTGCTGGAGAAGAGAGATCACAGGGGGGTGGGAGATCACAGAGGGGGAGAGCTGTGGCTGAGTGGCCATTAGGTGTGTAAACAAAGAGAGTCACACGCAGCCCCCGCTGATCAGCTGATCACCTGAGAGCTGCAGAGACTATTCAGACTATTTTAAAAAACAACGGTCTAATTTTATCATTGCACAACAATGAACTCAATGTCTGATTGTTATAGCAGTAATAATACAGTAAACTATTAACAATAGTATAATATTATAGTAAATATTCTTGTGAATGCAGAATATGATTATATCCGTGACAGTGGGAATAAAAAACAATATGCTACAGTATAGTAATAAAATATAAATCCCACTTGTTGTAGCCTACCTGGCAGAGCAAGAAACACTCCAGCCTTTTATTTCAACTTGTTTAAAACACATCTAAATAAATGTGTGTGTCCCGGGCCATAAATGTAAGTATACTGTCAGTTTTCAGATAAAGCCACGGCATCACAATTCTTCTGTATTCTACAATATAGTTATTTTCACCTCCTGTAATGCTTTTTCAACCCACCAGCTTTTATGGAGAAAATAAGTTATTTAATTATTAACCAGAGGCATGTTTCTCACTATTTTGTGCATAGAAACAACAGACTACTGTGTGTGTGAGGAATCAGCTGTTTATTTCATATGAGTTCACCTGAGAGCTGCCGTTTTCATTCAGACTATTTAAAAAACAATGGTCTGATTTTAACATTGCACAACAATGAACTCAATGTGTGATTGTTATAGCAGTAATATTAAACACGAATAATACAGTAAACTTGTCAGCGTTGAGTGAAGCAGACAGGACTCAAATGCAGATTTAAACGAAAAATACCTTTAATCCAAGGCCAAAGCGTCAAAAACAGAACACTACCCCATGACACAGTCAAAGACAAACAAGGAACCAACAATGACAGACAGAAAAACCAGAACTTAAATACACACAAGACTAATCACACAAACAAGACACAGGTGAGGAGGGAGGAGAAAACACAGGGGCACCAGGTGAACACAATCGGGTAATCAGGTAGGAGGGAAAACAGACAGAAAGCAACAGGCAAGACATGGGGTGAAGACTCTTCATAATAAAATATGAAACCAAAGACAGAAAAAGACAAGACAAAACACAACACAGACAGATCGTGACAACACTATTAACACTGTACATATTATTGTTTGCCCGTGGGGAGATGACGAGGCTCC